CATGCATTGTATAGGTTTTATGGTATTTCCGTTTACTCTTGTTCATTACAGTAACCCAATCCCTATGCTCTTTTAATTTAATTCACCTACCTACAAATTCTTTCCTTCCCCTTTTCCCCGACAAGTTTTTCTAATTCGCCTGTGTGGCGTCTTTTGTACCGTCATCACCGTAGAGGCGGAACATTTCCTCAATTCCGGGGCCATATCTTTTAGGTTGCTTATAGACACTCGTCTTCTTCACTCTGGGTCCTGGTCTCGTCTACAGCCCGGAGTACGTGTCTTTCCACATCTCCCATCCCTCAACCCCATTCTTCTCGTCTAGATCCTCGCACCCATCGGCTGACCCCGGAGGCAGGGGGGGGGGCCATCAGGACTCTTCCTCATCCTAAAACTTCCTATCATCTCTGATTAAATGCATTTGCTGAACCATTACAGATGACATCATTACAGATGACAAACTCATTAAATTACCATAAATTTTTTAGCAAAACCGCAGTCATCGTTGCTGCCGCTTTCCGTTTCCTAGCTTCCAGCAGCTGCGAGATATGCCTTCAACCTACGACAAGCCGCAGAGCAGCTACGTCGGACGATTGACATCGCCCATGTTGCTCGGCACCAAACATGGAATACCCTTGACGCACAGCCATCTGTTCAGGCGTCATCAATTTGCTTAATATCCTCACACGCGCACGACGAAATTTTCCCATGTACCCAAAAAAAAAGTGGTAAATGAAGAAGGAATTTGCCCATAAAGCCATGAGCAGTGTCACTACACAACCGGGATGATGGAACCGTTCACATTCATTGGCACATAACAACCCCCGACTCCCAAAAAAAAAACCAGGCAACAACCCAACCCTTCCTCTTCCCCTTCCCTTTAGCTGGAACCATTCAACCGTCTCTCCCACTCCTTGCACGCCATCAAAAGTCTTCACTGGGATAGCTGCGAGCGCAACCCCACAAGTGATGTGACCCGACCACGACGAAAAACCCCAGAAGAAACCAGCCAGTAACCTCCCCCCTCGCCAGCCCCCACCCCCTGCCCTTCCTTCCTTGAAGTCCATCGGAATCAACGAACCGTCCCTTCCA